TATTGCCTGATTATTCAAACAATTAACCATTTCTAATTTGCTAATTGCTAAGATCTATCGTCAGCAATTAACCAATTAACCATTATTCAACCAATTAACCACTTCAACTAGAACAATTGGGTCCTTCTCAGCCAATTATCAGCAAACAATTGAATTGAAGACAATATATATCATGTAGTGGGAAATGGGCTGCTCATGGCCGCAGGTAACTTACCTCCGCGAATCAAGGTGGCTTTGACAGCTGTCGACCGAGACGGCTTTAGGGTTGACGGCGAGGCAGGCGAGTGGTCGACGTCAAAATGGGTTGTCCAGATTCAAGATGGTGAAAGGGTTGAGGCGTGCCGCAGCCTGCTACGAGCCTGCGAGCCTGCGAGCCTGCGAGCCTGCGACCTGCCTGCGAGTCTCTCAAGTTCGAACCAAGAAAATTATCAGAGTGGTGACCGACTGAGGAAGGCGCGGCGCGGGGAGACAGAAGAAAGTTATCAGACGGAACGAAGTAAGTTGAAACTTGAAAATCTGCTACGGTTATCCAAAACAAATGATCGTTTTCGCTAGGTTTAGGGTTTTAGGGTTTAGGGTTTAGGGTTTTAGGGTTTAGGGTTTAGGGTTTAAAACTTTAGAGTGAGACTAGTAAGCTAATGGGGCTTTTAGATCTAGGTCCAAAATCATAGAGTGTTTTTAGGAGTGAGTTTAATTATTTAATTATATGTATTATTTCTTTTATAAACATTTAATGTTTTCTAAATATATTAAAAATCAATTAAAATCTTTTAATATTATGCATTTTCCAACTCCAAAATATCTAATTAATATCTAATAACAGAAAAAACTAATATACTAACACAAATCTATCTGCAAAACATTCTACCCTAACTCAAGTAGCAAATTTATGAATGTATATTATACCTATAAGTGAGATATGAAACCTAACTAAAAGGTAGAAAAAACATAATATACCTACAAGTAAGACACATTAATCTGTGGCATAAAATCTATAAATAGGATAAAGCAAGAGGAAGAACAAGAAATAACAAAAAAATAAATAAAAAGAAATAATCAAAGAGATAATTAGAAAGAAATTTGATTTTTACAATAAATTTTTTCATTGAAGAGATAATTATTGATAATTAAATAATTAAATTTAAGGAATTGGACGTATTTTATTAAATTGGATTATTCCCACTATTGACTCAAAAAATTAGACTTATATCAAATTTCCCCTAAATTAATTGAGGTGCACACACCCTTTTTACTTCTCAAACACCCTTTTAATTAGCCATCAGATCAGATGAATTGAAGAAGATTAAAGGATACAAATTAATAAGCGGTGTGTAAGAAGAAGTAAAAAGGGATGTGTGGATAACACACCCCAATTAATTATGTTTTAATATTTTTTTTTTTTGTCGAATTATGTTTTAATGTTTGGTGGACTTCTTTCTTCGAGTTAACAAATTGCTTGGTATAATAGAAGATTCAAAGTAATTACTTAATTTATATTTGTTCCTAAAGTAAACAATGTTTCATTTGTTTATGAATAGCTTCTTTCCGAATGAACTTTCGCTTCAGAGTATTTAGCCTTGCAAAGTGATCCATGCTGATTCACACAAAATTTTACGTGTCCCATGCTATTCGGGGATAAAAAAGGCGTCGTATTTTATAAATTCGGTTCGATTCAGTTTCTGAATCATGAAAATTGAAATCTAATCAAGCCATTTTGGTAAGGTTTGGTTTTGTACTTTCGGTTCGGTTTTTTCTTCAATTCAATTTTTTTAGTTACGATTCTGTTTTCGGTTTATTCAACCTACCCATAGTCATATTTTTAATTTTGCACCCTAAAAGTTATTAGTTTATATAAAAGAGACTAACTAGCTCTTCAATTTTATTCTGTTTTTGGTTTTGTACTTCTGCTGGTGCCCCTGATATGTCGTTATTATTATGTTAATGTTGCTTTGATATTTGTTTGTTGTATTTTTAGTGCATGAGATCGATCTTTGTCTTATTATTATTATTTTTTTCAGCTGGTGTTTAATCTTTCTTGCTACATCAATTTGAAGAATTGGCTAAGAAAAAAAAATTAGAATGAGTTGGAAACTGAGTAGAAAAAAATGTTAGAAAGAGAAACAGAGATTGTGATTTGATAATTGGTAATATGATCAATCCTTGGGGGCATATATATTATATCAATTTATATGTATTGGAAATATGCATTAAAAAGTTAAAGTCTCACATTACATGAATAAGAATGACTTTTTTAGATGTTTAAATGTTTTTAACCGAATAGTGTTTTGTGTTTCTACTGCCGATAGCCAAATGTTGTAACGTATACCTTAATATATATTCTATGCTGGTAAGCAAAGAGGTTTTTCGTTAGAAATATTAGTTGTTGTTTTCAAGTTGCTCCATTTCTTTCAAAGTTTATTTCCTTAAGGGAATTAAGGTGTATGAAACAACAAGTTATTATGGTTCTGATGCTTCTAAAATTTATGATTACAGGTTTCATTTGGCTGTTTGTTTTGCACGTTTCATTTTTGCAAAGTAAAGGACATATGCAACACACTCCATGATTTTAGAACACTTGAAGGTGAGACCTAAGAAATAAAATAGCGGTATGAAAAGTTGTGATGGCATGTTAATTCCCTTTTTTGTGAAATGATTTTAAACCATATTTACCCATTTATTTTTTCTTATTTTGTTTACATTTGATTTATGATAGATTACGCACATACTTAACGTGTTTGCATAAATTTAATGCCAGGGCTAGTTTGGTATTGCTGTGCTTTGAAAAAAAGCTGCTGTGAGAATCAGCGGCTGTGAAATAAATCAGCAGAGTGTTTGGTAAACTTTTTTGTAAAAGTGCTTTTGGAAAAAAAAAACGGTCTGATAGTGGGTCTTTTCATTAAAGGAGCACCGTAGCTCCGTGTGCTTTGAAAAAAAACCAGTTTTCCAAAGCTGCAAATAGCAGCTTCAGCTTTTTCCTTTGTCTTAGCTTATTCTCACAGCAGCTTCCAAAATAAGCCATTTTTTTTTCAATTTACCAAACACCTAAAACCCTCACAGTTTTTTTTCATGGGTGCTTTTTTTTTAAGCACCTCACTCCCAAACCACCCCTTACACCCACTGTTCAAAAAATCCCCGCCTAGTGCCGCCTAGGCCCTGCCTAGGCGCTATGCCCCAGCCCACCGCCTAGGCACCCGTCTAGCACCCACCTAACCCGCCTAGACCTGCCTAGGTTGCAACTCACTTAGACAGAAAATACATAACTTTCATTTTGCATTTTGTTTTTTTCCAATAAATTGTAAGAGACTTGTTGCATACTTGAATGAACGCACATTATATCCTTATTTCACATGTTTTCATTATGTTCCAATACTTCATGATATATATGCATTATATTTTGTAGTTTATGATGAAATTATATATATTTCAAGTAGAAGCAGACACTTATTTACCTGAAATATGATAGATTTACTTAAATCCGCCTAGTCCACCTAGGCGCTAGGCCCCAACCCGCCGCCCGACTAGCGCCTAGCGACTTTTAGAACCCTGCTTACACCTTAACAAATACCTATGAAATCTGCAGTATTATCTAATTTAATTGATTAGTTTTGATTTGCATTTTGTTAATTTTTATATTTGTAATAGTCGACTGTGTTGAAATTTTAGTGTATCACTTTCTGTCAACACTCTGCTTCTTTTTCTTATTATATTTTCTGTGTTTAAATAGCATGAACATACTAAAAACCTGTTAATTACAAACTATCCATTACAAGTTTGTACTGCCTGTTTTCTTCTTTTACATCCAATAGTTTTAAGACCCGCAACAATGCTTGGGCACTATTGCTAGTGTTTACTATACACATATTCATGTTAGTGAGAACTCCATCGTTGCAAAATGGTAGCATTAATCCTACGTTGCAAAATGCTACCATTGTGAATAGGTCTCAATAGTAAAATATGTCAAATAAAACATGATAGAGTAAAAGAGAAATAATGCCTTCAATATTTTAGTTTTTGTTTCTTAAAAAAAAACTATTATTAACACTTTAAAATTTTAATTGTGCACTGTTTATAAAAATATTTTTTTTGTTAAGAAAGTATTTTTATTTTAATATAGAACGCACATTTGAATTTTTTTGGAATGAAAATAATAATTCTCCTTTATAATTTTATTCTTAATTTTGGTCCTTTATATGTAATTTTATAAAAGGGTAGTTTTGTTACTAAACTCTATAAATACATGTTTAGTGAATTTCAAAATTCACACAAAAAAATGTTCAGTGAATTTCTAACTTTTTTCGAGTTAAAATGTTCACAAAAATAAATTATGATAACCTGCATATATTTTATTTTGAAAAAAAATTAAAATAATTTAATTTAAATTCATTCTTTAATAATCTGAGGTTAAAATTTTAACCGGGAACTATTGAAGCAAAAAAACTATTTATGAGTTAATAATTTTAAGTTTTGACTCAAGAGTTGGATGGTCTTAAAAGTTTTAGGTGGGTGGAAGATAATGTTAGTGGTTGCCCATTACACTCTTTATATGTTTTTGGGTGAACTGTTAATTTAGTCCATGAATTATCACCCGAGTGAAACTTAGGTTTCTAAACTATCTTTTTAGAAAAAATAGTCATTGGATTATAAGAATTTGCTAATTACATTCCTAATATTAGATTTGAAGCTAATATATTATATTTGGAGGATAGATAAGTAATTTTTCATAAAGAAATAGTGTATGAAGTTAATTTTGAAGGGTAAATTAAACATTAAATTCGCAATCTATATGAAATGTTAAGGGCTTATAGACTAGAAAAATGCGATATTACGTTCTAAAATATGTTAAGTGATTTAAGTTGACAAAAAATTGGATAAAATAACTTTGAGTATAACAGTAGGGATATAATTAGTAATTTTTAATGAATTTAAGAATTTATTTTATCGAAAAATAATTCACCTAATTTGTAGTGAGGTGGTAGTTCAGAGATTAATTTGGCACTTTATTTTTTATATTTTTTTTAAGCAAAACGGTAACTGGAAGTCTGAAGAGATGATGGTTACGGACAGAGGCGGAGGGATGTGACACTGTTTTCTGTGCGGAGGCAAAGCTTGCGGTTGCAGCGTTTGTGATTTTGACCCCGGGGATGGCCTGTTGTCACTCCCACTCTTGGCTGCTCCCCAATATTCAATCCCTTTCCCTCTGCAGATGGAGAAGCTTCACTTTCAGATTGGTAGGAACAACAACAACAATCTCCCCTAATTTCCCATAAGGTATAAATACCTCCCACAAGTCACTCTTTCAATTGCTGCTGTTTCATACACACATACATATTCACACACACACACACACTATATGCTAGCTAATTGGTTCTTGGGCAAGCGTCTGAATTTCCAATTTCTCGTATTTTTTAACCGGAATTATTTTTCATAAATTTAGGGCTACTGCAATACGTTCAATCGTAGTTTTTATTCGGCTTCACCAGGAGTTGTTAGTGAGAATGTTGATGCTGCCGCCACCCCCGCCTTTTACTCTAAAAGTGAGGGAGTAGTACACCGAGACATGCTGCTGGCTTCGACTTTGATAAAGCATGAAGAGAAAACAGTGAATAGTAACCCTTCAGATGGTAGAGTAATGCTCGTCGACGGCACATCCATCATTTATAGAGCATACTATAAGATTTTTGGTGTCGATTCCTTCCTTCTCTTGGTATAATATATATAACACTAATGGTTTTGTCATCACTTTCGATTTACAACAACATATTTACTTGCAAAAGATCACATATGTGCAATGTTGGAGTAGCATGTTAATTCTATACTGGGACGTTTTCTGCATATTTTGAACCTTGCACAAGAATTTGTTTGAACCTTGCACAAGAATTTGTTTGAACAATAGTTTGGTTTTATTGGGATACATGTTACTTTTACTCATAGCGTGCATCTTAAAATTAGCTTATTTGATTTTCGTTAATGTTGTTTTCTTTTTCATTCGATAGTATCCACTAATCTTTGTTTCTGTTGATGAGAGTAGCAAAGCTGCATCATGGACATCTGTCACATGCCGTTGGAAACGGAGATTGGGTGTTGACCATCTTCTCAGCACTTTCTCTTGTAAGTGATATTTATATAAAAGATTGAGCTTTTTTGCTGTTTTTTCTTTTCATGTACTTGTAATAAGATCAAAACGTATGTTATTCTCCTCTTCAGTTGCAATGTACTCAAGAAGTTGTGGTGTCTATAGATTGTTGACTGAACAGCAAAGATACATTAATTGTTGTGTAAATATATGATGTGTAATAAAACTAAACTTTATTGATGATCTTTTCTATTTAATCGAGGCATCCTGATCCCAATAATAATTTAAAAGATATTTATTTTATTATTAAATGTCACTCTAGGGCTTTTTGAGGGTGTAACTTGGTTAAATTGGAAGTGTTTTAGTTGTGCATCTTTTGATTAAGTTAGACCATATGCACAACCATGGGGTATCCTCTTGTTATGATAATTTTCGTGTTACAATTTCTTTTTCACTGATAAATATGTGAACCTTTCTAAAGTGCTATAACTGGGTATAGCAATATTATATAAGGTGCAATGCACTAACAAGTCTTTATGGATGTGTTGAACCCAAACCAAAAGTAGACACATTGTCTTTTGTCATTTGGAATTTTTCTGGTCTAAGGCCTTTTTTTTTAATTGATTTTCTTGCAGATAATTGATGTCCTGATGTTTATCCCTTCCCATGTGGCAGTGTGATTTTATTCCAGTATGTATTTTGTGTATTTTCATTCTATTTCACTTGTAGGTTCTAGACTTCTAGTTTGCATGTTCTCTATCTATTTTTACGGAGTTGGCTGGCAATGTGTTTCATATTGATCGGGTCATTCTACCTTGGTTAAACAAACTTAAAAGGATTAGTGCTGCTGAACTGGTAGGGAAAACAGAGAGATGAGAAGGAGAGGGGAAGACTCGAAAGAGAACTATAGGCAGGCTTCAGTATTCCATAATGCAAGCATGTCTTGAAGAGCTAGATGATCAACTACATCAAATTAAGTAGCTCCATAACCCAATCGGCAATCCATAGTTAACTGAATTCCTTAATTGAATTGTATTCCTCCCAAATTATTTCTTTACCTCATTGTCCATCAACTAGTTATCGTTGTTTCCGTTTTTTGTGGTTTCAACTTTCAAATGTTTTTTCATATAAAATGCGGATATTAGTTGTTAGAAATAATTTTATTTATAAGTAGACATGGAGCCATTAAACTTGCTTGGTTTTGTTCTCCTTGAGTTTATTCAATTTCTGATATCATAGTCCCCCACTTTTGTCCTGTAACACAACTAATAACTTTTTTCTTCTTCTTTTTTTTGTCTTTTCATGTAGGTGGTGTTTGACCGTGATGGTGTGATACAAATTTTGTTGGCCTCTTCATTTTGTTATTGATATTCTTATATTTGTATTTACTTGTACACTTCCAAATTGCATCACCATAGAGCTCATTAAATGCTATATACATATAAAGTCTTGGGTTTAGCTAGTGAAGTCGTACTTACTGTGCTCAATATGTAGGTGGGGGAGCATGTTTTCCAAGCCCAATTTTGATAAGACAGACATTCTCTTTTCAGGAATTTCATTTGGTCAAACATGTAATTCATCCAAAGAAAGTGTTAAAAAGGAAAAGGTATGCTTCTTTTATTTTATTTTTTCCCTTGGTTTGCATGTTGGAGTTGAGATTGTAGGCCATTCTGAAAAAGAAAGTAGTGGTTGTTTGTCGGTTTGCATGCATCATTTATTGTCCTATTAACCTTCGTTTGTTAATATATCACAATATATAAACATAAGTCGATGTAATTATAGAATATATGAAACGTTATACAGTAATTGAACCTTTCTGGATTATAGTTTAAAATGATTACGGCCCAAATTATCAATCAATTATGAAAACCCCTAATGATGTATGTAGTATGTGCATTAGAGCCTACCCTGTACCATAGAACATAGTGTAACTGTAGCCCCTACCATAGAACCTAGTATACCCTGGACCGGTTTCCGTTTTATGTACTGACTTAGACCCAAATGGGAGGTAAATTGGGAATGTTTATCTATCTTTCATCTTTGTTTAGAGAGTCACATTTTGCTTTATATCATGTATTTCATCTTTTCATTTGTACGCCTTTACCTTGAAGTAATTTAAAGCTTACCATGTGAAGTAAGTTTTGACTTTAGCATTTACTGATATCCTTGTTCTCCTTCCTTCTTTTTTGCTTTGTTGCCCCAGCATTATTTGTCTGTCTTAAGATTTGTAAGCTAATGTTTTAAAACAATAAGAGATTATGATGTGTCTTTATATTATCTTTATTTTATTTGAAGGCCTGAATTTTCATCATACTCTGTACCCCGCATACAAGAGCAGTCGCCCCCCTACACCTGACACCATTGTCCAGGGACTCCAATACTTGAAAGCATCAATCAAGGCTATGTCCATTAAGGTGATTGAGGAAATAGCTCCATATCACAGCTTCATATGACCAGTTAACCCCATAGGTATGTTGTGATTGATCATGAGTCTACTCAAAGGCAGGTGCCCGGTGTGGAAGCTGATGATGTGATTGGGACATTGGCTGTTAGAAGTGTTGATAGTGGGTACAAGGTAAAACTCTTAAGTTATTTTATGAAAGAAGACTATTCTATATTTATTTTTTAAATATACTTAATGTTATCCAAGTATGATTATATTTTTGGTTGTAGCTAAAGAATGATTAAATAAAATTTCGTTTCTTTTTTTGGTAATTGGTACAAACAAAATTTCATTTCTATCCATATGAAAATAGGTCACTTTGATTGTCAAGTGGGACTTCAATCTCTGCTCACCTTCCCAGAGTGTTCGAGATTAATTGTAATTAGAAATCTAAGAATATATTGTTTCCTACCTTTTTGTGTGATCTAGTTAAAGTGATTTGGTTTTTGTTTAATGTCTTCTATAACCAGGGTTGTGTTCCATTTGAACCCTTTTTGGGTTGTGACTAATGAATCTTGTGTTCTCTCTGTTTTTGTCGTGTGACAAAACTGAATTCCTGTTTCATTAGTCACAACCCAAAAAGGGTTCAAATGTTTAGAAGTGGGTGAGTAAAAAGTTTGGCTGTAGTCATTGTCTCAAAACTGTTTGTGGTTTAACAGTTTCACATTTTTTGCTAGTAAATAGAAGGGGGTGAAACGTTTGGCTGCAGTCATTGTCTCAAAACTATTTATGGTTTAGCAGTTTGACATTTTGGGCTCGTTTGGGAAGTGCTTTTAAATGATTGAAAGCGCTTTTAGAGAAAATGTTTTCAAACCAATCCTTAGTAAAACTGCAAGTTAATCCTGGAAAAGCACTTTAAGTGCTTCCTGCAAGAAGCACCTAACTTGTTCTTCTTGTAGGGAGGGCTTCAAGTGCTTTTGAACCCAAAAATATTTTCTCTAAAAGTGCTTGCAGTAATTTAAAAGCACTTCCAAACGAACCAAAAGACTTTTGACCGTGTTTAGTAGAAAAACTTAAAAACATTTTTGATTATAGAAGCACTTTCTGGAAAAGCACCTGACATCTACTCCTTCACCAAGCACTCCCAAGTGTTTCTCTAGGAATCACTTGGATTTTAATAAAAATTTCAATGTATCTGTAATACTTGCACTTCTAGCAAAAGCACGTATGAGCAAACATGCTTTCTAAATAAGCAGTCCCAAACAGGTCCTAAATAATATCAAGGTAGAAGTTATCCTAGTTCTAAGAGGAACAAGATACTCCAAGTTACCATTGAAGTGGAGATTTCTAAGGGGAGGTCAAGGAAAGCCTTCAGAGAAAACTGGTGTCATTGATAAACTTCGTCCAAAACTGAAGTCCCTTCTCAGACTAGCTCATGCCATTTTATAATTTATTAGTAATTACTCTAGTCTTTCCAGATAGAATCTTTAAATTTCCTATACATCACTAATAACAACTACTCCCATAACAACTACCAAGACTATACATACAACATTAATAATCCACCAAACCCATTAGCTTTTCTATGCATAAGTATTCCTCAATACCTAGTAAGATTAACCAGATAATAATTTTTCTGCATCACATGTGCTGGGATTGGGAGCTAATGGAAGACTTGGCGCAAAATCGAGCGCAGTGGTGTTCTAGGATTCATACAGCTGACCCCACTTCTTATGTGCTGGGATTGGATAGTTAATGACTGTGGGATTGGATAATTACTGAATGTGGGATTGGATAATTAGTGACTGTGGGATTGGATGAGTCTTAGACAGTTATGCAACCATTAGCTGATTTTCTCCCCGTGAAAGTGGGATATAGTTCTTCTATCAGCATTCTTCCATGGAGAATATAGAATTCGTGTAATAACAAAATCATTTATAGTTTTTACAGATAACATGGTAGGATAGATGTATGAAAATTGAAAAGAATTGTATGAATTGTTTTGCTCGGTCATTTTTCTGATTGAATTGCAGCCTCTCCATAAATGGGGGTAAGACTAGCCGACATTCACCTCTCCCAGACCCTGCGTAAAGCGGGAGCCTTGTGCACTGGGTACGACGACCTAAATTTTGACAGGTACGGGTTGTCTCCCCAGACAAAGACTTTTTTCAGATTCTATCTCCTTCGCTGCGCCTTCTACGAATTGCTCCACGTGGCTTTGAGTAAGTAACTTTATTGAATTTCTATCTTTACTTAGTAATGTATGTTCTAACCTGTATAAAAATTCTTAAAATCTGTACATGTTTGCTTGTATTTAATTTCTTATGTTCATGCAATATTGTTTAGCATAAAATACCTCTGCCGCTCGGTGTATTCCTTGCTTTTTTAGTTCTAGAAATCATCAAGTGGTGATTGATTGTCTCAAAATTCTTAATTTTAAAAAGAAAAGAAAATTTTGCTCAAAATAAAATAAAAAAACAAACAGAAAATGTGGTCTGATCGGTTTAGGATACTTAAAATTCTCATATTGCGGCAGAATTCATCAGTATTATTTTCTTTTACATTAAATTAATTAAAATAGCAGCATTTCTTGACAATTTGTAAAGAAAATGGTGCTGTGTACCAGTTTTTTTTCTTCTTTTGACAGTTTTTATGGAGGATGAAAGTCCCAAACTTTGTAGTCATATATTTTTCTATTTATTATTATTTGAATTTGTAGAGTTGAGACGCTGATGTATGTGTACTGATTTCTCAGTATGGTTTATGGAGGATTTTGCTGAAAAATATGGAAGCCTTCAACCTTCTCAGTTGGTTGATGTGATCTCACTTGTCGGTGACAAATCCGATAATATTCCAGGTTATTTTCGTTTTGTTTTTTGTGAAAATTCAAATGAGAAGGGAGGAAAGTGATTATTTCATTTTTTTTCCTTTTTACTGGATAATAGTCCAGTTATTAAAATTTAGTTATAGCATGATATTAGATGCTTTATTTTATGAATACCAAGTGAGATGAAATTCAGTGAATTTTTCCTGTAGCTTGAGATGCCATTCATCAGCCTCAGGACGATATTTTTGTATGAGAACAATGTCCACCCTGGGAAAGTGCCAGTCCCGCATTCATTATATTTTAAAAATGAAATGCAAGAGAGCATTTATTTCAAATGTTGCAATTGAGTTGATTTGAATGAAGAAAAATCGTAGGTATCTACACAAATTCTCTTGGCATCAAACTGATGACTTGAGACGGATCTACTTAGATTTGGACCGGGAATGAGTGGTTAGTTGATTCTTGTCCTTAGTTCAGCAATGGGGGAGGAAAATGGAGTTCTAATGAATGACACTTGCTTATAAGAATATCTAATTTTGGGAAAGGATACTGGAATTTCAAATGATATATATTTTTTTTAATCTTTTGTAAAAATGATCATTGGATTTTATGTTTGGACCTGGTTGTTATAATTGCAGGAGTCCATGGAATTGGAAATGTTCATGCTGTGCAACTCATCACTAAATTTGGTGCGTAAAATATGTCATCATTTTACTTTCTTTTGGAATTGAACTTGCATGGTTCTAGCAGTAGTAGTCCTTCCTGAAGGCTCTACTGCTTAATGTGGTGCTGATCTGCACCTACCTAGAATACAACAACAACAACAACAACAAAGCCTTTTCCCACTAAGTGGGGTCGGCTATATGAATCCTAGAACGCCATTGCGCTCGGTTTTGTGTCATGTCCTCCGTTAGAACCAAGTACTCTAAGTCTTTTCTTAGAGTCTCTTCCAAAGTTTTCCTAGGTCTTCCTCTACCCCTTTGGCCCTGAACCTCTGTCCCGTAGTCACATCTTCGAACCGGAGCATCAGTAGGCCTTCTTTGCACATGTCCAAATCACCGGAACCGATTTTCTCTCATCTTTCCTTCAATTTCGGCCACTCCTACTTTACCTCGAATATCCTCATTCCAATCTTATCCTTTCTCGTGTGCCCACACATCCCACGAAGCATCCTCATCTCCGCTACACCCATTTTGTGTACGTGTTGATGCTTCACCGCCCAACATTCTGTGCCATACAACATCGCTGGCCTTATTGCCGTCCTATAAAATTTTCCCTTGAGCTTCAGTGGCCTACGACGGTCACACAACACGCCGGATGCACTCTTACACTTCATCCATCCAGCTTGTATTCTATGGTTGAGATCTCCATCTAATTCTCCGTTCTCTTGCAAGATAGATCCTAGGTAGCGAAAACGGTCGCTTTTTGTGATCTTCGCTAGATTGCTCCGGTCATTAGTGTGGATAAGTATATAAATGGATAGAGATAGGAAAGCAAACACAAGATGTACGTGGTTCACCCAGATTGGCTACGTCCACGGAATAGAGGAGTTCTCATTAATTGTGAAGGGTTTACACAAGTACATAGGTTCAAGCTCTCCTTTAGTGAGTACAAGTGAATGATTTAGTACAAATGACATTAGGAAATATTGTGGGAGAATGATCTCGTAATCACGAAACTTCTAAGTATCGGAGTGTGGTATCGTCTTGACTTGCCTTATCTGTCTCATAGGTAGATGTGGCATCTTCTCTGGAAGTACTCTTCCTCCATCCAGGGGTGGTATCTTTAACTGGTGGAGATGCACAAGGTAATGTATCAATTTCACTTGAAGCTTACTTGTAGTTTCAGGCTTGGTCAAGCGCGATACAAACCATGTAGTAGGAGTCCCCCAAGTCGCCGAGCTAGGGGATCTGCTGAAAGAGGTGACAGACAAGGTAAGCAATCAGAGCTCCGGCTGATTGTTCACATTCTCCCTATCTTGCAGGCAGCATGAAGGATAAAGAGAAGAAAAATGAGAAGAGATGATATGGGATACTTTTGCTTTTGAAGAAGTAACTTTCCACAGGCTTATTCTTGAACTGAGCTGGAGGGTTTTCTGGTTTCCTCCAGAGTATAAGGCCGACTGAAGAATTTGAGGGTCAAAACAAGTCCATCAAATCTAGAGTACGTTCGACCCTGCTGATATGGGATACTTTTGCTTTTGACAGAGTAATGGATGTATCGGCACGTGTGCTGTTACGCTTGTCTCCACATGCTTCCTTGTATCCTTCTCACTTGCCCTATCTGTTCCTCAGGCAGATGCGGTATCTTCCCTGGAAGCATAAGATGTTGAAGATGAGTACTCGAGAGCAATGCCAGGTAAGTAATCAGGTAAGGGGTTCCAGGCAGTCAGTTCCTGGCTGGAAGCTTGATTCCAAGTGCTGACTGATTGCTCTCTTTCTCCTTGTCTTGCAGGTAAGAACAAGGCCAAAGGAAAAGACAGGGAAAAAGCATGATATGGGATACTCTTGCTTTTAACCCTGATGATATGAGATATTCTGCTCTAGTATAGCTTGTTTGCAGAGGTATTATCGGGGGGAAAGAAAGCTGAATATTTCGAAAGGCTTCGTTGGGAGTGCCCTCTCAGATATGAGGAAGGGTTGAGCATTTTTGCAGGTCTGCCTGTCCGTTGGGGATGGAGGTCGACATATATAGGAGTCTCCCTAACAACAAGTAAGTAGCTAATGCTATTCCTTTACCCAGTCAGAGCACTTTGAAAAAGTGGTCTGTGGTATCTGGAAAGCTGATGTTGCGTGTGAAGATTACAGACAGCTTTATCCAAGGAGATCCGGCTCTTGAAGTTGGGAAAGTGTTGCCTCTTCGGTTTTCGAACAAGCAATCCTATCGGGATCTGGCTCTCGAGATTCGGAGAACGATGCCTCTTCGATTTTTGAGAAAGCAATCATGCTGGGGGTCTGGCTCTCGAGATTCGGAGAGCGGTGTCTCTTCGATTTTTGAGAAAGTAATCATGTTGGGAGTCTGGCTCTCGAGATTCGGAGGGCGGTGCCTCTTCGATTTTGGAGCAAGCAATCTTGTTGGGAGTGTTTTCTCGAATGTGAGTAAAGGTTGGGCATGTTTGCTAGTCTACCTTGCCACGAAGCACAGAGGTTGACACACAGGGACTTTCCAATTATCCAGCAATGGTACTGTTCCTTTACCCTCTCTTCGATTTTTGAGAAAGTAGTCATGTTGGGAGTCTGGCTCTCGAGATTCGGAGGACGGTGCCTCTTCGATTTTGGAGCAAGCAATCTTGTTGGGAGTGTTTTCTCGAATGTGAGTAAAGGTTGGGCATGTTTGCTAGTCTACCTTGCCACGAAGCACAGAGGTTGACACACAGGGACTTTCCAATTATCCAGCAGTGGTACTGTTCCTTTACCCTTGTGGGTAATAATATGGTAGCTAGACCTTCAAAATTTATGTGTCTAAACTTTGTTAGTGCTGTTTCTTTGCTATTCTTTTACCCTTCTTGGTCAGAGCGATGTAGTGGGAGCTGCAAGCTTCACGTGCTCAACTTTGGCAGAGAACTTTGGCAAAGTTATCTGTGGTACCCATGAGCTACTTGTTGCGTGTGGGAAGTGGGTGATTGAACAGTAAGATTCATGTGCTTTCTACTTCACCAGAAGTCTTCGACAGAATGCCCATAATTTCCGCAAAGCTGAGTGTGCGTGTGACAGGTGCTGACAAGGCTGGAAAAGTAGGTGCCTCTTCGATTTCTGAGATCGGCCCTCGTGGTCTCTGAGCAGCCCAGCTTTTGAGAAAGCGAGCGCCTCTTCGATTTCTGAGATCGGCCTTCGTGGTCTTTGAGCAGCCCAACTTTTGAGAAAGCAAACGCCTCTTCGATTTCTGAGATCGAACCCTCGTGGTCTCTGAAGCAGCCCAGCTTTTGAGAAAGCAAACGCCTCTTCGATTTCTGAGCAGGCGCCTCTTCGATTTCTGAAGCTCCGTCGAGTGCAGATTTTTATAGGGGCTGGCATTAAGTTCCAAAGCACACTTGAATCTCCACCAGTAGAAGCTCCATTCTTGCACTTCTAAGATCTTGATTTGTCCGACCTCTTCTCTCTTCAACACCTTTGAAAATGTCTGGCCCCTCCGACCGTCGTTTTGACTTGAACCTTGTTGAAGAGGCAGCCCCGCCTTCTCCAGACAACATATGGCGCCCATCCTTCGTCTCCCCTACTGGTCCTCTTACCGTTGGGGATTCCGTGATGAAGAATGATATATGACCGCTGCGGTGGTGGCCAGGAACCTTCTCACTCCCAAAGATAACAGACTACTTTCCAAACGGTCTGATGAGTTAGCTGTTAAGGATTCTCTGGCTCTCAGTGTTCAGTGTGCAGGTTCTGTGTCTAATATGGCCCAACGCCTATTTGCTCGAACCCGCCAAGTTGAATCATTGGCGGCTGAAGTGATGAGTCTCAAACAGGAGATTAGAGGGCTCAAGCATGAGAATAAACAGTTGCACCGGCTCGCACATGACTATGCTACAAACATGAAGAGGAAGCTTGACCAGATGAAGGAATCTGATGGTCAGGTTTTACTTGATCATCAGAGATTTGTGGGTTTGTTCCAAAGGCATTTATTGCCTTCGTCTTCTGGGGCTGTACCGCGTAATGAAGCTCCAAATGATCAACCTCTGATGCCTCCTCCTTCTAGGGTTCTGTCCAGTACTGAGGCTCCGAAATGATCCCCCTCCGGTGCCTTCTCTTTCTGGGGCTCTACCGACTGCTGAGACTTCTCCTAAGCAACCTTTGTGAAGGCTCCCTCTTGTTTGTTTATTTTGACTCATGTATATGTACATATTTGTAGCTTATCGGGGATATCAATAAATAAGCTTTCCTTCATTTCAACGTATTGTGTTAAATACACCAAAGCCTTCTTCGCTAAGTTCTTTGAATTTTCTTTTGTTGAAGCTTGTATGTTGAAGCTTTCTGAGTGGAGCATGTAGGTTGAGGTAGTGTTCCCTTAATTTCCCGAGTGAGGAAAACTTCTCGGTTGGAGACTTGGAAAATCCAAGTCACTGAGTGGGATCGGCTATATGAATCTTAGAACGCCATTGTGCTCGGTCCTGTGTCATGTCCTTCGTTAGATCCAAGTACTCTAAGTCTTTTCTTAGAGTCTCTTCCAAAGTTTTCCTAGGTCTTCCTCTACCCCTTCGGCCCTGAACCTCTGTCCCATAGTCGCATCTTCTAATCGGAGCGTCAGTAGGCCTTCTTTGCACATGTCCAAACCACCGTAACCGATTTTTCTCTCATCTTTCCTTCAATTTCGGCTACTCCTACTTTACCCCGGATATCCTCATTCCTAATCTTATCCTTTCTCGTGTGCCCACACATCCAACGAAGCATCCTCATCTCCGCTACACCCATTTTGTGTACGTGTTGATGCTTCACCGCCCAACATTCTGTGCCATACAGCATCGCCGGCCTTATTGCCGTCCTATAAAATTTTCCCTTGAGCTTCAGTGGCATACGGCGGTCACACAACACGCCGGATGCACTCTTCCACTTCATCCATCCAGCTTGTATTCTATGGTTGAGATCTCCATCTAATTCTCCGTTCTTTTGCAAGATAGATCCTAGGTAACGAAAACGGTCGCTCTTTGGTATTTCTTGATCTCCGATCCTCACCCCTAACTCGTTTTGGCCTCCATTTGCACTGAACTTGCACTCCATATATTCTGTCTTTGATCGGCTTAGGCGAAGACCTTTAGATTCCAACACTTCTCTCCAAAGGTTAAGCTTTGCATTTACCCCTTCCTGAGTTTCATCTATCAACACTATATCGTCTGCGAAAAGCATACACCAAGGAATATCATCTTGAATATGTCCTGTTAACTCATCCATTACCAACGCAAAAAGGTAAGGACTTAAGGATGAGCCTTGATGTAATCCTACAGTTATGGGAAAGCTTTCGGTTTGTCCTTCATGAGTTCTTACGGCAGTCTTTGCTCCTTCATACATATCCTTTATAGCTTGGATATATGCTACTCGTACTCCTTTCTTCTCTAAAATCCTCCAAAGAATGTCTCTTGGGACCCTATCATACGCTTTTTCCAAATCTATAAAGACCATGTGTAAATCCTTTTTCCCATCTCTATATCTTTCCATCAATCTTCGTAAGAGATAGATTGCCTCCATGGTTGAGCGCCCTGGCATGAACCCGAATTGGTTGTCCGAAACCCGTGTCTCTTGCCTCAATCTATGCTCAATGACTCTCTCCCAGAGCTTCATTGTATGACTCATTAGCTTAATACCCCTATAGTTCATGCAATTTTGTACGTCGCCCTTATTCTTGTAGATAGGCACCAAAGTGCTCGTTCGCCACTCATTTGGCATCTTCTTCGTTTTCAAAATCCTATTGAAAAGGTCAGTGAGCCATGTTATACCTGTCTCTCCCAAAACTTTCCACACTTCGATTGGTATATCGTCTGGGCCTATTGCTTTTCTATGCTTCATCTTCTTCAAAGCTACAACCACTTCTTCCTTCCGGATTCGACGATAAAAAGAGTAGTTTCTACACTCTTCTGAGTTACTCAACTCCCCTAAAGAAGCACTCCTTTCATGTCCTTCATTGAAAAGATTATGAAAATAACCTCTCCATCTGTCTTTAACCGCGTTCTCTGTAGCAAGAACCTTTCCATCCTCATCCTTGATGCACCTCACTTGGTTTAGGTCCCTTGTCTTCTTTTCCCTTGCTCTAGCTAGTTTATAGATATCCAACTCTCCTTCTTTGGTATCTAGTCGTTTATACATATCGTCGTAAGCCGCTAACTTAGCTTCTCTCACAGCTTTCTTCGCCTCTTGCTTCGCTTTTCTATACCTTTCACCATTTTCATCGGTCCTATCCTTGTATAAGGCTTTACAACATTCCTTCTTAGCCTTCACCTTTGTTTGTACCTCCTCATTCCACCACCAAGATTCCTTTTGGTGTGGGGCAAAGCCCTTGGACTCTCCTAATACCTCTTTTGCTACTTTTCGGATACAACTAGCCATGGAATCCCACATTTGGCTAGCTTCCCCCTCTCTATCCCACACACACTTGGGTGATTACTTTCTCTTTGAAAATGGCTTGTTTTTTCTTCTTTTAGATTCCACCATCTAGTCCTTGGGCACTTCCAAGTCTTGTTCTTTTGTCTCACTCTTTTGATATGTACATCCATCACCAACAAGCGATGTTGATTAGCCACGCTCTCTCCCTGGTATAACTTTGCAATCCTTACAAGTTATACGATCCCCTTTCCTCATTAGAAGAAAATCTATTTGTGTTTTTGACGACCCACTCTTGTAGGTGATCACATGTTCTTCTCTCTTCTTAAAGAAGGTGTTGGCTAAGAAGAGATCATATGCCATTGCAAAATCCAAGATAGCTTCCCCATCCTCGTTTCTCTCCCCAAAACCATGGCCACCATGAAAACCTCCATAGTTGCCTGTCTCCCTGCCCACGTGTCCATTTAAATCTCCTCCTATAAATAACTTCTCCGTCTGAGCAATTCCTTGCACCAAGTCTCCAAGATCTTCCCAAAATTTCTCCTTCGAACTCGTATCCAACCCTACTTGAGGTGCGTACGCACTAATCACATTGATAAGTTCTTGTCCTATTACAATCTTGATTGCCATGATTCTATCTCCTACCCTCTTGACATCTACAACATCTTGTACCAAGGTCTTGTCCACGATGATGCCAACACCGTTTCTCGTTCTATTTGTGCCCGAATACCAAAGTTTAAACCCTGAGTTTTCTAGATCCTTTGCCTTACTACCAACCCACTTAGTTTCTTGTAGGCACATAATATTTATCCTTCTCCTCACCATAACTTCCACTACTTCCATAGATTTTCCCGTTAAGGTTCCTATATTCCACGTTCCTAAACGCATTTTGCTCTCTTGAACTCTACCCTTCTGTCCTAGCTTCTTCACCCTCCCCCGTCTAATAGGATCAAAGTACTTCTTTTGTGTGTCCCGGGTAAAGTTGATAGGAGCATATGCTCCCAAACAACTTTGAGTGGAGTCGTTCGAAAAGAAGTTTCTATGGCCCCCTTGCTCATTTAACACTGCATCCGGGTGCCGATGGAGATACAGCGACCCTTGCTCACTTATCACTGTGCTCGGGCCGCACAGCGCGCCACTTACGGGTGACGCCCTAGCTTTAGCGCTATTTTGTTCTGGATTCATTTTCATAAGGATTCGACGTGATCATGGAGTGCCGGCTGTCGACTACCTGACGCCCTCCCCCTCCTCCTTTATCCGGGCTTGGGACCGGCCATGTAAGAGAATACAAATAATAAATAATAAATACACCATTCCAATAATGTGTAGCCTTTCTTTCCAACTGAAGCGTTGCTAAATTTTTACGACGTTTAATCTCTATATGATTGCCAATAAAGTAAGGAGAAGGAAAAGAAAGCTTGGACTTTCAAACCTGTTGTGTATCAGTAATTTGAAATTTCAGTACAGATGGCTTTTTAAAGGAAAAAGACGTGTTTGTCAGGTTTGGTTCTTCTTAGTTGGGTTGGGCGGGTTGGACCAGATGCTATGCTTACACACAAGACTACCCCTCTTCCCGAAAGCTTCGTGGGGACTACTAATACCGATTTTATACACGCATTTGTATTGCATAATTTTCTTTTTTAAGTAACCTGTTGTTACATATCTTTTAGAATGAAGCATGGATCAGCACGACCTGAGTAAGAATGAGATTGCATTTCTTTTTAACAATCAAATTTTTATTGCAAACAAACAATAAAAATACAAGAGCTGGCAACAAGTCCGCAAAAGAACAAACAAGACACAAAACTAACTACTAGCAGCATTCCAATTACGCCAAATTCTGAAAAATAAAAATCTCTATATTCTGTAGTAGCCGATGCCCACCTAGATGACCATGACCCAACTTTATCCCTAAGATCCTCCCTTCTACTAACTACGTAGTTGTAAAAAATCAGCTTGTTTCTTTCCATTCAAATGGCCCAAAAGATAGCTGAAACTACATATAACCCCATAAGACCTTGGCTTTCTTCCCCTTTCCTGGTAATTTATGTTTCTCTACCATAAAAGAATAAAATCCCTGGGTAAAACCCAACTGATACCCAACTCCCTAAACAACTTCAACCATACATGTAAAGCCACTGGACAGTGAAGAAGCAAATGATCAACAAACTGAACCTTTGTTGCATAAAATGCACCAATCAGGTGGAAGGCATGAATCAGGTGGAAGGCATGAATTAGGTCTCCGGTTTTGATTAGGTAACCACAATAAGATTTAACAGAGAAGCTTCATGAAGAATCAAGAATCCAACTTCTTGCATCAACCCTTGAAGGGTGTATCAACACCCCTGGCTCTCCACCTCTACTGCGTAGCCATTGGCTTGAGATTCACAAATCAATGAAAATACGTGAGTCTTATCCAATCTTGTCAAGAAAGATGACAAATTGTCTACTTCCACATCACACAGAGTCCTTCTAAAGCCAAAGTCTCAACTCACAGAATATTGAGCAAAACTCGCTACACTAGAAATACTCTTGTTATGAAACCTGGATATGTTGAACAGCCTAGGAAATGAGAACTGTAGATAGTTTTCGCCCAGCCAAATGTCTTCCCAAAAATGGCAACACTCCAGAAAAGAACAATAACCTTTGGAAATATTCTTCTTCTTCTGAGGACTTCTGCTTTATCTTGGAATCCAGCCATTGTCACTGAGACCATACTTGCTTCTCATCACTTTATGCCAGATAGAATCACATTCGAGTTCAAAAGGGATTTTAATTCAAAAGAAACAAATACGCTATAATTCTCATTGTATTCGGTTAACAAATCTAACCTAATTCTCCCTCAATTCCATTGCCCCTCACCACATTCAAGTTTTGGTGAATTTTTCTGGATCAATAATAAGGAAGAGATCTTGTCCCTGCTGGTTTTTTACCATAAATTGATCCACAGGTAGAGATAAAAGATTTTCATGGATCCTCCTACAGTTGGATCCACATGTTATTATATTTCTCCATGTATTCAGAAAAGTTTCCTTGGATTACTGACAATATTAGATTAGGCGTGTGCCTTTCAATGGCTTGGAAGTCAGTATTACCTGTAAAGTTGTAACCTAATTTGTAACTGTTGAGAACTTATCATGTCTAACTCACACTGTTGCATCTGTTCTCTCATTGCAGGCCTTGATAGAAAATGCTGATCAGGCTCTCTTGAGCAAGAACTTGGTAATCATATTTCTTTATCCAGATTCTCTTCTAGCTCTCCGTTTCTCTTTTCATAAGGGAGGGGTGGGATAGGGGGTTTGCCCATTCAAAAAAGAAAAAGTTTTTTTTCATAAAACATAAATACGGATTTATCTTAATAATTAGTGATTAGTGTTACAATGAATTCTTGTTCCTGATAAAATTGGGCTCAGTCCTCGTTTCTCAAAAAAAAAAAAAAAAAAAAAAACAAAAAAAAAAAAAATCCAAATTCTGATAATCGAGAAGATAAGATGAAAGCATTTTAAATATGTAGTTTTTTGTCATTTCTCACCTTAAGACTGCAAGTAAATGTTTTTTTTTTTTTGGTGTGGGGAGTACCCATGTACCCTTGTAATTCTGCTCTTGAGCAGCTCAAGTTTTGCTTGAGAAAAAGCCTGTTAATATTTGTTTGTTGAAGAATCAAGTCAAGCTGAAGCTTAAATCCATAAGTGAACCAAATCAAAGCCATACAAACACGTTCATTGAACAAGATACAACAACAACAACAAAGCCTTTTCCCACTAAGTGGGGTCGGCTATATGAATCCTAGAACGCCATTGCGCTCGGTTTTGTGTCATGTCCTCCATTAGATCCAAGTACTCTAAGTCTTTTCTTAGGGTCTCTTTCAAAGTTTTCCTAGGTCTTCCTCTACCCCTTCGGCCCTGAACCTCTGTCCCGTGGTCACATCTTCGAACCGGAGCGTCAGTAGGCCTTCTTTACACATGTCCAAACCACCGTAACCGATTTTCTCTCCTCTTTCCTTCAATTTCGGCTACTCCTACTTTACCTCGGATATCCTCATTCCTAATCTTATCCTTTCTCGTGTGCTCACACATCCAACGAAGCATCCTCATCTCCACTACACCTACGTGTTGATGCTTCACCGCCCAACATTCTATGCCATACAGCATTGCCGGCCTTATTGCCGTCCTATAAAAATTTTCCTTGAGCTTCAGTGGCCTATGACGGTCACACAACATGCCGGATGCACTCTTCCACTTCATCCATCCAGCTTGTATTCTATGGGTGAGATCTCCATCAAATTCTCCGTTCTTTTGCAAGATAAATCCTAGGTAGCGAAAACGGTCGCTCTTTGGTATTTCCTGATCTCCGATCCTCACCCCTAACTCATTTTGGCCTCCGTTTGCACTGAACTTGCACTCTATATATTCTATCTTTGATCGGCTTAGGCGAGGACCTTTAGATTCCAACACTTCTCTCCAAAGGTTAAGCTTCGCGTTTACCCCTTCCTGCGTTTCATCTATCAACACTATATTGTTTGCGAAAAGCATACACCAAAGAATATCATCTTAAATATTAAGTTTGTGATCTTCGCTAGATTGCTCCGGTCATTAGTGTGGATAAGTATGTAAATGGATAGAGACAGGAAGCAAACACAAGATGTACGTGGTTCACCTAGATTGGCTACGTCCACGGAGTAAAGGAGTTCTCATTAATTGTGAAGGGTTTACACAGTATATAGGTTCAAGCTCTCCTTTAGTGAGTACAAGTGAATGATTTAGTACAAATGACATTAGGAAATATTGTGGAAGAATGATCTCATAATCACGAAACTTTTAAGTACCGAAGTGTGGTATCATCTTCACTTGCCTTATCTGTCTCATAGGTAGATGTGGCATCTTCTTTGGAAGTACTCTTCCTCCCTTCAGGGGTGGTATCTTTAACTGGTGGAGATGCACAAGGTAATGTATCAATTTCACTTGACGCTTACTTGTAGTTTCAGGCTTTGTCAAGCGCGATACAAACCATGTAGTAGGAGTCCCCCAAGTCGCCGAGTTAGGGGATCTGCTGAAAGAGGTGACAGACAAGGTAAGCAATCAGAGCTCCAAGCAATCAGTCCCAGATTAGAAGTTTGATTTCGAGTTCCGGCTGATTGTTATCCTTCTCCTTATCTTGCAGGTAGCATGAAGGATAAAGAGAAGAAAAGGAGAAAATGTGATATGAGATACTTTTGCTTTTGAAGAAGTAACTTTCCACATGCTTATTCTTGAACTGGGCTGGAGGGTTTTCTTGTTTCCACCAGAGTATAAGGCCGACTGAAGAATTTGAGGGTCAAAACAAGTCCATCAAATCTAGAGTACGTTCGACCCTGCTGATATGGGATACTTTTGCTGTTGACAAAGTAGTGGTTGTATCGGCACGTGTTCTGTTGCGCTTGTCTCCACATGCTTCCTTGTATCTTTCTCACTTGCCCTATTTGTTCCTCAGGCAGATGTGGTATCTTCTCGGGAAGCATAAGATGTTGAAGACGAGTACTTGAGAGCAATGGGGTTCCAGGCAATCAGTTCCGGACTGGAAGCTTGATTCCAAGTGCTGACTGATTGCTCTCTTTCTCCTTGTCTTGCAGGTAAGAACAAGGCCAAAGGAAAAGATAGGGAAAAAGCATGATATGGGATACTCTTGCTTTTAACCCTGATGATATGAGATATTCTTGCTCTAGTGTAGCTTGTTTGCAGAGGTGTTCTCGGGGGGAAAGAAAGCTGAGTATTTCGAAAGGCTTCATTGGGAGTGCCCTCTCAGATATGAGGAAGGGTTGAGCATTTTTGCAGGTCTGCCTGTCCGTTGAGGATGAAGGTCGACATATATAGGAGTCTCCCTAACAAGGAGTAATACTATTCTTTTACCCTGCTTGGTCATAGCACGGTAGTGGGAGCTGCCAGCTTCACGTGTTTTAACTCTGTCAGAGCACTTTGAAAAAGTGGTCTGTGGTATCTGGAAAGCTGATGTTACGTGTGAAGATTACAGACAAGCTTTATCCAAGGAGATCTGGCTCTCGAAGTTGAGGAAGCGGTGTGAGGATTACAGACAAGCTTTATTTAAGGGGCTCTCGAAGTTGAGAAAGCGGTGCCTCTTCGGTTTTTGAACAAGCAATCCTGTCGGGGATCTGTCTCTCGAGATTCGGAGAACGGTGCCTCTTCAATTTTTGAGAAAGCAATCCTGCTAGGAGTCTGGCTCTCGAGATTCGGAGAGCGGTGTCTCGTCGTTTTTTGAGAAAATAATCATGTTGGGAGTCTGGCTCTCGAGATTCGGAGGACGGTGCCTCTTCGATCTTGAAGCAAGCAATCTTGTTGGGAGTGTTTTCTCGAATGTGAGTAAATGTTAGGCCTGTTTGCTAGTCTACCTTGCCACGGAGCACAGAGGTTGACCCACAGGGACTTTCCAATTATCCAGCAATGGTCCTGTTCCTTTACCCTTGTGGGTAATAATATGGTAGCTAGATCTTCAAAATTTATGTGTCTAAACTTTGTTAGTGCTGTTTCTTGGCTATTCTTTTACCCTTCTTGGTCATAGCGATGTAATAGGAGGTGCAAGCTTCACGTGTCTAAACTTTGTCAGAGATTTTTTGCAAAGTTATCTGTGGTACCCGTGAGCTGATGTTGCGTGTGGAAAGTGAATGATTGAACAGTAACATTCACGTGCTTTCCACTTCACTAGAAATCTTCGACAGAATGCCCGTAATTTCTGCAAAGTTGAGTGTGCATGTGACAGGTGCTGACAAGGCTGAAAAAGCAGGTGCCTTTTCGATTTTTGAGATCGGCCCTCGTGGTTTCTGAGCAGCCCAGCTTTTGAGAAAGCAAGCGCCTATTCGATTTCTATGATCGACCTTTGTGGTCTTTGAGCAGCCCAGCTTTTGAGAAAGCAAACGCCTCTTCAATTCCTGAGATCGGCCCTCGTGGTCTCTGAGCAGCCCAGCTTTTGAGAAAGCAAACGCCTTTTTGATTTCTGAGCAGGCGCCTCTTCGATTTCTGAAGCTCCGTCGAGTGCGGATTTTTATAGAGGCTGGTATTAAGTTCCAAAGCACACTTGAATCTCCACCAGTAGAAGCTCCCTTCTTGCACTTCTAAGATCTTGATTTGTCCGACCTCTTCTCTCTTCAACACCTTTGAAAATGTCTGGCCCCTCCGACCGTCGTTTTGACTTGAACCTTGTTGAAGAGGCAGCCACGCCTTCTCCAGACAACATATGGCGCCCATCATTCTTATCCCCTACTGGTCATTTTATTGTTGGGGATTCCGTGATGAAGAATGATATGACCGCTGCAGTGGTGGCCAGGAACCTTCTTACTCCCAAAGATAACATACTACTTTCCAAACGGTCTGATGAGTTGGCTGTTAAGGATTCTCTGGCTCTCAGTGTTCAGTGTGCAGGTTCTGTGTCTAATATGGCTCAACGCCTATTTGCTCGAACCCGCCAAGTTGAATCATTGGCGGCTGAAGTGATGAGTCTCAAACAGGAGATTAGAGGGCTCAAGCATGAGAATAAACAGTTGCACCGGCTCGCTCATGACTATGCTACAAACATGAAGAGGAAGCTTGACCAGATGAAGGAATCTGATGGTCAGATTTTACATGATCATAAGAGGTTTGTGGGTTTGTTCCAAAGGCATTTATTGCCTTCGTCTTCTGGGGCTGTACCGCGTAATGAAGCTCCAAATGATCAACCTCCGATGCCTCCTCCTTCTAGGGTGCTGTCCAGTACTGAGGCTCCGAATGATCCCCCTCCGGTGCCTTCTCTTTCTGGGGCTCTACCGACTGCTGAGACTTCTCCTAAGCAACCTTTGTGAAGGCTCCCTCTTGTTTGTTTATTTTGACTTGTGTATATGTACATATTTGTAACTTCTTAGAGATATCAATAAATAAGCTTTGTTTCATTTCAACGTATTGTGTTAAATACATCAAAGCTTTCTTCACTAAGTTCTTTGAATTTTTCTTTTGTTGAAGCTTGTATGTTGAAGCTTTGTGAGTGGAGCATGTAGGTTAAGGTAGTGTTCCCTTAATTTCCCGAGTGGGGAAAACTTCTCGGTTGGAGACTTGAAAAATCCAAGTCACCGAGTCGGGTCGGCTATATGAATCTTATAACGCCATTGTGCTCGATCCTGTGTCATGTCCTCCGTTAGATCCAAGTACTCTAAGTCTTTTCTTAAAGTCTCTTCCAAAGTTTTCCTAGGTCTTCCTCTACCC